AACCCGTACCTTGTTTTCATCATCCTTAACCATTAGACCCATTTGTGGCCAATGACCCGAGCTTCTCTCCCTTCCACAATCTCAATCAACCAAACAAAACCAAAAACGAAATTTTCTCAATCATCTCCCCCCCTAGTTTCCGTCCAAATTAACCCTGACGAAGAGCCAAAGCCATGGCCTTATCCAACCTCATCCTCATCCTCCTCGTCACCCTCTCCTCCTCAGCCTTCACCGGCCACTGCCGAGAGCAGAAAGTCAGCGACGTGTCGAGAATGCTGACATGCATGGAGCTCCTGATGCAGTGCCAGAACCATATGAGCTCTCCTAGCCCGCCACAATCGTGCTGCGTCCCCCTCAAGCGCGTCATATTTCATGACCCTCAGTGCCTCTGCGCTCTCTCCATGAACGGTGATTTTCTCGCTTATTTGAATGTCACCATCAAGGATGCCGCTTCTCTGCGGTAGGTGTCATCTCCGCTCCCTGACGCTAGGGGAAATGCCTCTTCGTGGTACGTTTACTTCTCTTCCTTCTTGAGCCAATACACTTTTTAGATAATTCTCATCTAACCGTTTGTTTTTCAACTTAATTAAACCGTTATGCGTAAAGCAAAAGCGTTTAATGTTGAACAGTTGAAACTTTTTTATTTTTTCGCCTTTTGATCGATGTTTTTGGTCTCTTTGTTCAGTCTGCGGGATTAGGCAGGCAAACTTTGTTTAGTTTTGTTTTGTTTGGCTCTAGAAATTTGAAAAGTTACTAGTCATGAACATGGGGCTGGCTTTAGCACATATGTGTGTCAATGCTTGTGGTGAATGACGGCTATGGTCCTCTCTTCATCCTCATTGATGAGTTCGTGGGGAAAGTCTCTTGTTAATATGGTTGGAAAATTCATATTTTTCTTGTCAAACAATGGATGCTATCTCGTATCCTAGTTACTTTTTAAGATTAATAAAATGAACAGGGAGTTTGTCCCTCGGTTCTTGTTGTAAAAAAAAAAAAGGAAAAATTGTGTTTAGTTCTTAAATTTAAAAACCTTATGGGACCAAGCCCCTCACTTTTCTGGGTATGTGACTAGCCCCCAAATTTAAAGTTTTTATGTGTTTAACCTCCCCCTAACCCATCTCTCTTTCTCATCCCCAGCATACCCTTCATCTTCTTCCTCCTCTCCTCATTCCTCTTCTTCTATTCTTCACTCCACCTCCTCTCCTCTCTTTTCATCTTAGCATCTATCATTAAAGATTAACAACTATTGTATAACATAGCATCTCCTCTCCAAGATTAACATCTATCATCTGTAATTAATATGTACATTTTTTTAAAAAAATCTTACATATTAATTTTACATATTAAGTGTTAACTTCGATGTAATTTTAGAAGGTGGTCAGTTTAGCTAAGAAAGCTAACCTTCAAAAAAATATGGCAGCAGTTTTGAAAGGGGGAGAATATATAGATGGAGAAGGAGGAGGGAGTAAGGAGGGCAAAAATGGAACAAAAAAAGGTGATGGAAGAGGAGGGAAGGAAAGTAAAGATGAGATAGAGGAATGAGAGGAAGAGATAGGAGAGTGAGAAGAAAAGGGAGGAGGGGACAGAGAGAAAGGACGAGGATGAAGTTGAGATGAAGGGTAGAGAACAGAGAAGAGAATAAAGTTGGGTGAAGAGAAGAGGAAAAGGAAGAATGATCAGCATAAGAAAAAGAAGGATGGATGTAGGACATGGGAAGGTGGTTGCAAAAGAAGAGAGCAAAGCGGAGATATAACATTAAAAAGAGGAAGAGGAAGGAGATGGAGTGGAAATAGAGAAAAAGAGAGAGAAAAAGAAAGAATAGAAGAGGAATGAGAGGAGATGAAGAAGAAGGAGAGTATTTTGGAGATTGGAGAAAACTATGGGGTGAGAAGGGCTTAAACACACATATTCTCAACCTTCTTTTTTTTTCCCCCCCCCCCCCCCCCCCCCAAAAAAAAAAAAAAAAAAGGTTGAATCACCTAAAAATTAAAAGAAAATATATACCTCATACTTTTGTTATTATTCAAATACTTAAATTTTTTGTTAACTTTTCTTATTTAATATTGTCCACTGATTTAAAATTTCACATGTGTTAGATGTACCAACAATAAGGTTTCGCAGGAAAACCTCAAAAACAGAGGGAAACGGTGCTACTTCTCATGCAGGTAATATTTCTTTGGGTTTTTCAATTGTCCCTTATATCTTTACTATTTGAAACCCAATATCTCAAAGTAATTGAAATTACACTTCGATTCTCTGAACTTAAAAAGTTGTTTTCAGTTGGTCCTTCTAGAATCTAGATTGTTTCAAATACTCTATTGAAGTTAACTTTTTGATACTACTATTGAAGTTAATTTTTTGTTACTACTACTAGTTTTCACCTGTACGACGTTGGAGACTAGGTATTTGTTGGGATTTTTAGATCTCGTAACGTAAAAACCCTGAAACTACCAAAACGTAACAAATATAATCACACGAGATTTAACGTGAAAAACCCTCAACAGAAAAAACCACGAGATCAAAATCAATTCAGTATCACCTCCAAATTATAATTTTTTTGCACGGATAAAGACAGTCAAACTCTCTTTTTCACAATACCCTTAAACCCGGTTACACCCTCCAAAACTTGTTAGACCCTAGAGGGGGGGTGGGGGGTGATTAGGGTCTTATGCTAATCTAATCCGATTTTATGTTAATTAAAACTAATTTAAATATTATTTTTGCAAGATAGATATACAATATGATATGAGCAAGAATATGCAATATGAACAAAGAGATATATCCTAGCAAAGAGGTATATGATGAAATATATGCAATGATATATAAACTAATACAAGGGTGAAATAAATATAAACAAGATAAGAGTGATAGTGTGCAAATAAACAATGCAAACACACAATATGATCACGGAGTTCGGATCATCCGTCCTACGTCTCCGCTCTCCACTCCCGGGGAGAAATCCACTATCACAACCGGGTTTTCTACACTTACCCGAACAACGTTTACACTTCACACTCGGTTTTCTAGCTAACCGAAAACTTTACAATCAACACTCTTGCAATCCCACTCTACACCCTCTCAAGTGTTGGAACTAGACGTGTCTCCCTCAAGTGCTCGGATACAACCTCTCCCTAGGTTCGTCAACCGACGCCACTCCTCTTGGGATGATCCCCGACTCTCGCCACACACTTCTCTCGGTGTACAAATGTATTACAAAGTGAATCTCACAATAAGCATAATTACAATAAATGATTGTTCTCTAATATGGATGAGAACACAATGAAAGCTCACACTCAATTGTTATAACTCTCACCAACTCAAATATACTATGTATGAAAATACGATAAGCTCATGTGGGTGTGTGTAACAATGAGAATAAATAAAACTAAATCTAAACTCAATATAAAAACTAGCTTTAAAGAAAGATAATCAAATAACTATGCAAATGTAAAGCTAGATAAGAGTTTAGAAATCTTCTCAATAGATCAAGAGGTGGAGGGAGAATAGTTGGAAGCTCAACAAACTTAAAACAAACTAACCAAGCTTAAACCCTTATTAAACTTTTGTTTTAAAAACTTCTTGGTTATACTTGGTAGTGGGGGTTGAGGGGTTTATATAGGAAGAGAAACCAACAGCAAAACCCCCAACCAAATCCCCCAAAATCCTAGAAAAAGATTTTTCAGATTCTGTACAAAAAGAGCCGTTGGGGTAAACAGCGGTCGACCATGAAAATCTCGCGGTCGACCGCGAGCCACTTTCGAGGCTCCGGTGGGAATTTTCGAGCTGACGGTCAACCACGACGGTCGACCGCGAAAGTTGTTGATGGCTCCGCAAGGAAAATCAAAGGCGCGGTCGACCGTGATGGTCGACCGTAAACTGACATATGAGAAAACATGTTTGAAAGTTGATTTTTTTGATTTTAAAATCATGTTTAAAAATATCAAATAAATTCCAAAAATTATAAAACTTTAAAAAATGATTATAGACATGATAATAAACATGCTACAAAAACTAGTTTTTAAAAAGAACTTCCCAAATGAGAAATATTATCATTTTGCAAAATAGTCCAAACATGAATTGTAAACACATGAGTTTTGACATTTTAGCTTAACCATGTTTTGAAACATTACAAAATAATTTTGTAGACTTAATAAAAGATGTATATAATGATTGTTAAGTCTATAAACTGAGAAAACAATATTTTTACAAATACAATAGAAAATAAAACATATGAGTATGTATATGAAAATATATTTGTTTCATATCTAAGTAGTTAAACCAAATCACAATAATAAATATGAAATATGTATGTAATTTCATATTTATATGAAAGCCAAAACTTGTGTTGTATATATATATATATGACTACATATATATACAAAGAAACCAATAAAATGTCCGTGTATATGATATTGAGCTTAACGTACTTAACACACATAATATAACACCTAAACTAAATTACCCAAGCTTGATCTTGATCTTCATTGTAGCTCAACTTGGTAAACTTGGATGAAGCTTGAACTTGAATCTTCAACTTGAATTGTACATAGCTTCACCTACTATTCCACCAACCTCCATTTGATATGATCGTTGAAGCGCAATCCATCCATCCTCCAACATGTTGTTTGTCTATAATAAATAAAATTATACAAACACTAAACAAACAACATTAGAAGTAAATTATTTGTTAAACATCATCAAAACAAGAAGGCCAACAAAACCTTGATTACAAAGATATTGTCTATCTCCTTCTCTTTACTCTAAAACCCTAGAATAGAAGACCTTATTTAAAGACACCATTGACTTGCCCGCTAAGTTAACTTAGTTTCTAAGAAAACTACTAACACTGAGCCTAGCCTTCAACCCCGCACCCGATTTGGAGTTTGAGTTGGTATCCAACATATCCTCCCTCGACGAAAGATCTCCAAGTGTCTCGACGGCTTTAGAAAAACACACTCTCTTCTTCTTGTTCTTCACCTCTCCCTTATAGACAAGAGTCTGAGAAGAGTCATCTACACCATTAACAGATCGCCCATCTAAATAGCAAATATTGTTGCTATTCTTCCTCTCTCGTAAAATTAAATCATCATATTTATACACTTTGCACCACTCTCCTTCACCCACATACTTGTACCCACGCAATGCCATCTCACTCAACGAAATTAAATTAGCACCACATGACAACACATATCTCACATGGCGAAGAATTCTAACATTTCCAGTATGAAGCTTGAGGCGAACACTCCCGACACCTTCAACTTTCATTTTCTCGTTGTTTCCATGTCTTCAATGTGTCAAAATAATTTTTGTTGTTGCAAACGTGCATAGAGGCTGCAGAATCTAACACCCAAGTGTTACTCGCATCAGTACATGTACTTTGCATCAACAACACCACATTTTCATCATACACAACCACCGAGAAGTTCACATTCTTCCCATTTTATTAAAGCTTTATCTGTCTAATACTCTTCAATTCATCTTGCATCTGGGAGTATCTGAATTGAATGTGACCATGCTCTTCGCAATAATAGCACTTCCTTTCGCAGTCGTCTCGGACCGGAGATTTTGACCTTCCTCGATAACTGTCACATCTCCCCTTACTCCTTGCTCGATTAGAACCTTCAAAAGCTAGTGCACTCTCGTCACCATTAGATGCGCTCTCTTTTCTCATCATTCTTTTATTCTCACGTAGGAGTGCTGTTACATCGTCGAATTTCAAAGTCTGCTTCCCTGCAATTATCGTCTGAACTAACCGATTGTACGACTTTGTTCAAAGTCTGCTTTCCTGCAATTATAATCTGAACTAACTGTTTGTACGACTTTGGCAATGAAGACAATAGGAGTAGCACATGCTCTTCTTCTTTAATCACATCATCAATATTCATAAGTTGGCAAACTAGCTGATTAAAGGTATCGATGTGGTCTTGAATTGCAGTACTTTCTTCCATTTTTAATGAATAAAGTTGCATCCTTAAACACAATCGGTTGGATCGACTTCGACGAATAAATCCCCTTGAGCCTTTCCCACAGCCCCCTTAGTGTGGTCTCTTGCATAAACATTGTACTTGATCTCGAGGGCGAGTGCCAAATGAATTGTGCTATGGAACTCCATTTAGCATCCTTCAATCCTTCAAGTTTCTTCTCCTCCAAAGTTTGATCAACACCATGCTGTACAAGAATATCTTGAACCGTGTACTGCTATACAGTAAAATTTGTCTTGTCGTTAAATAGCGGAATATCAAACTTCGGACCCGAAGAAGTCATCATCCTCTAACCACTATCATCCTCTAACCGTCAAACCCGCATCCGACTTGGAGTTTGCGTCGGTACCCAACAGTATTTAAATGATCTTATATTAATATAATCAATTCGAGGCGCATCATTAATGTTAAATAGTTAAAAAGTTCCAAACTTATTTACACTTAAAAACATAGGAGAATGAAAGAATGCATAGAGAAAGAAATAAAATAATTAATATGATATTTTTAATTAGCATTTTACCGAAAGACTCTTACAGCTCTTATTACTGACTTTCCATCTATTTAATACTAATATCTATTTATTATTAATTATAAAAACATAATAAGTTAACTAATAATAGGGAAGGTGAAATACACGAATATGCCTGTAATTTTTTTGTACATAGTGCTCATTGGCAAAGGAAAGAAAGTTTTCATTGATAAAAAAAAGACAGATTAAATTACAGAAAGAAACAAATCCGATCAAATCCAATCAAAAAAGATCTCATTCATATCTTGCTTGTTGCCATCTCTTTAGTGCGAGAAATGGATGGAAACCTGGTTCTCTCGAGCATTTCGAAAGTTCAAAAATGTTAGAATCCAGTAAATTAATGAAATAAAACTGACCACAGTTATACAAAGATATTATAATCGATTTAGAAATTTAAAAGAATTCAATGAATTAGATGCGTCACTTGCCGCTTACAACTGATCTCTGCTTGTGCAATTCTCTTCGACAAATGGAGAAGAAAGGAGGAAATGAGGTTTAGCCATTTAAGGGGAAGGCTGCAGGTGTTTACTGTGAAAAGTTCATGAGAATGTGGAAATAATTAGTGAATATGAAAAGCTATTGAGTACTAAAGTAAGGAAAATGACTTAAGGACCCAAAATATGGGACCAATGGAGGGGACATGTGAGGTGTCCCCTCCCTATTGTATAATGAGTTGGCTATAGAATTAATGATGAATTTATGATAGACAATTTTTATAGAGAAAAGTTAAGAAAAATATCTTAGGGACCCAAAAACATAGGACCCTACAAAGGTTAAAGGTTGTTTCTAAGCAGTGCTATGAGACTACAACACAATTTGAAATTTGAAATTAACACCTGATTAATGTGAGAGATGAGATGGAGCTTGTGTAGGGGTGTTAACGGAGCGGATACGGCTCGGATATGGCACTTACCATCTCCATATCCGCTTACCCATCTCGGATACGGATACGGATACGGATATACATCGGTAAGAAAAATTCATATCCATATCCGTCAAAATCGGATACGGTTACGGATATAGATGCGGATATATAAACGGATATACATGCGGATACAAAAAGGATATGAGAAAACTAGATAGTATTCAGAAAAATATAGTCATGTGATACAAAAAGAGTTCGTTAATATGTTCATTATGATTGAAAAGCTGAGATTAGACATCTTGATCATCAAAATTAACTACAAATCCATAATCTAAGAATCGAAACTATCGTAAGAGTATTACCAATATGTATTCAAATATTTTCGGATACGGATACAGATATTTTACTACAAAACCATATCCGCAACCATATCCTATCGGTAATAGATTTGAGTAACCATATTCGTATCCTAACGGATACGGTTACGGATATTTCCTCGGATACGGATACGGTTTGGCACCCCTAAGCTTGTGCCATAATCTTAGAGGGTTAAAATGCAATACTTACACAAAATTTCTTTGAAAGAGCCATGTGGCAAAGAAATGTGAACAGAGATTATTGTTTTATTAGTATAGTATTGATATTAATTATTAATCAATACCCTTTTCCAATAAAATAAAAACTTGGTTGCATTGCATGTTTTTACCACCATTTGTTATTATAGAATACTAGCTCAACATTAGCGCAGTTTCAGAATTTTATGACATAACTAACCTAGTATTTAAAGAAGATTAAAAAAATATCCTTATACTTGTCCATATTTAGACCCACGGTGAAATAAATTCCAATTTCGTGAGGACTTGTCGAGAATTTCAATCCACAGTTCTTGAGAACAAGCATTTTTATTCTCCACATTACAAATATAATGTTTTACATAATCAAATATAATGTTTTACATAATGAGAACAAAATTGTGCTAACTGTTATTCATTTAAAATCCTTTTCCTTTTCAGGACCATTAAAACGTTGCGTGGGGTTGAGAAATTGCTTGACAAATGTTATTTTGTGCCTATTAGTTAGTAAGCTACTCTTTTCTCAACATGAACTGTAACTTTGAACTTTTCTGTACCATTTTCCCCCTAGATTTTGATGGAAATTTGTGGATTAAGGCCATTAAATTTTCATAGCATGGCACTTGTTCGGCTCGAAAGGATATTGTTATTGGCAAAATTCTCTCGAAAGGATGTTGTATTATTTTTTTATGCTTTCATTTTACTCTTTGACAAAAGGCAAATGAGCTGCATTCTAAACATGACATAAACACTACACACGCTAAAAAGATGAGTAAGATGAGTCACATGTGAGGAATATACGTTTTTTGAGAATTTTTTTTGGATTTTTAGTTCGGCCGGAAGATAATTGACTACAAATTTACAATAAAAACTTACTTGAAATAGACTTTAAGTGTAAAGCAAAATTGTGGTAAATCAAACTTGTGAGAGATGACATCCATATAATTACCCTATGTTTATATTTATAATTACATATTTATAAGCTGGTTTCTAGCGGAGAAGACTCGGCTTTTGTTAATAAGAATTTTACCGCTCCAACATTATAAGTGTAATCTAGCAGTTGTATTTGCTTCTACAATATCGCCTTTCAACAATAAAACCCAAATTAAAAAAAACTTTGCTCGAGGGATCCAAAATATAGGAACAACGGGAAGAACATGTGAGGTATTCATCTCCTATTACATAATGAGTCATCATCATTAATGATAGCCAGCTTATTATGCAATAGAAGGAGTACTAGTCCCATATTTTGAGTACCTGAGAAATTTTTCAATTGAAAAAATAACCCATTTATGAAAATAGTAGAATTAAACAAATCCTAAATTAATGTAAATAAAAAACAATAATAACCACAGGCTCTCAGTCTAAGGCCAAAGTCTTCCACAATCAGGACCCATCTGAGGACAAACTCCCTGGTGAAAATTCCATTGCTTCCCAAGCTTGAAGAACCCTTCAATTTACTCTCTTCAGAGTCAATTAATCAAAATTAATCAACAACTAATTGCCCCCAAAGAGAGAAAACATCATCAAGGATCACCAAGCAAGGAAAGCAACGGCCCGCCAAAAAGCCCAATACTCATCTGGCTTCTGTTCGGTGTGGTTAAAGCAACTACAGTCATCATCGAGCCCAAAACATATAAACAAACAATTAAACGAAAAAAAAAACCCAAAACAAAATACGAGGAAATTGAAATAAATATGTAGGACTTTGAGAAAACGCGAAGAACCATGGGTTAGTTTTTGGAAATCGCATGTCCAAAAAAAGTACCACTGGATCATTGATGTCGCATCTCTTCTGATATAAGCCCCTTATGAACTTATAAGGAGCGATAGATTGATGAAGAGTGCAGAAATATAATACATAAATTAGAAATAAATGAGGAAAATATAATTTTATTTACAGGAGCAAAATAAAGAGGAAAAATATCGGAAGGCGGCGCTATGAAAAGTTAAGGGGCGTGGAGATATTTATAGTGTCAGGTGACGAGCATTGGTGCTAGGGTTGGTAGCAACTGGGCCGGGCTATAACCATAATCGGCCCTGAAACTTTTTCGTATGAGCCGATTTTAAAGCGCCTTTTGAATTGGGTTGGGTCCTGGCCCGTTATTAGCTCGTGATTGAACGGGCGGTTTCGATAGGATCCGATCCGATATAAGAGCGTGATTTCTATCAAAATATTTTACCACATGAGGTAATCTGAGACATATATGTAGTGGGGCAGCGTGGGCCGGGCCGATTCAGGCTCGTGCCCCCCTGCCTGTCGGATTTTAAGGTCGGGTTGTGTCCGACATGGGTCTGACCGGGTCAGAGTGGGCTGGGTCTACTTCTCTAATTCCGGGTATGAGACTGACTCCAGCCTGGTCTATGACTCACCTAGGTGTGGCCGAGTCTAACCCAGCCCATTGCTCGTGGGTCGTGGGCCAGCCGATGGGTTTTTCGTCCAACACTTTTTTACCTTTTTTATTATGTCAAACTTATATTTACATATTGAAATTATATACAATTTATTTTTTTAGTAATTTAAACTTGTATTAAACTTTTATTTCCTTCCAAACAGATAGAGCGAGGTTAAAAAAGCTCGCTGCTTTGTTTCTTAATGGGCCAAAAGGTCCACGAGCCAAAAACCTATGGTCTTTTGGTTTTGTTGGCAGCTAGCTGCAAACTCAAATGGCTAAAAGAACAACTAGCCTAAACAAAAAATATATAATACTCCGAGTCAGGTTGGGTCGGTCAGGCTAGGGTGTGCACTGAGCCTACTTCTCTGCCCCAGTGTCCAGGGCTGGACCCTACATGGCCCGTGACCTGGGTATACCACAGACTGGTTTAGGCTCGACCTACTGCGAGCCGAGCTGGATCGTGACGTGGGTCGGGTTAGCCCGTGGGTCGACCTAGGCCATGCTCAACCCTACCCAGCAGGACAAATAAGGTACCAAAAGTACCCCTTGTACCGGATACAGCGTTTTGGTTGGGTTTATACTCATTATCAAGGTCTATATCTATTATCTTAATTTATTCATTTTTTTTCTTTAATGTAAAAACTTTTACATAGTGATTAAGCAGTGTAAACTTATTAACTCGTTAATCATAAATCTAAACATAACTAGCTATTGATAAACAAGTATTGTTTTGATGGAATTCATTTAAAAAAGAAAAAAAATGTTTTGATGGAATTTTGAAATATTAATGAAACGGGACAAACTTCAGTCTCGGCAACTGAATTTGAGAGAGGCAGGCCCGAATTCTTCGGCCTACGTTTGTTCAGGCCTGACCACAATCCAGCTTAAATTTGGCCCGGTCAAATCACAGAGCAGATGGGCTAAGTTTATGTGAATGTAAGATCTTTTATGGTAAAAATGCTCTTGACAACGGATTTAAAATATTCATTTATTTGGAAGAAAAAAGTTTTAGCCTCATATGACACTTCTTTGGAACGCATAATTTTATTAGATTTTTCTATAAGATAAATAATGAGTATCATATGAGAGTATTATCTCGTTAACAATGGTGTTGATTGAATGTTAGTCAACTGAATAAATGTGATTATTCTGTACTACTTAACTCGGGCCATATCACTTGGTTAAAATTTGGTCGCATCATTTTTTTCGAAGGAAAATACGTTTTCAGACGCACATAACAATAGTACTAACAATCACAACTATTGCGCCTTTGCCGCACGTATAAAACAAATGCATATGTGAATCAAACTCAGGCTTTCCCATAGAAAAACGACACGGCTTAGCCATGTGATCTACTAGGCTACCCTCATGTAGGGGTGGGCAAAAACCGAAAAAAACCGGTTCAACCGAAAAAACCGCCCGAAAAAACGGGCCGGTTAACCGAACCGGATTAAATGGATGAGAAGAAGACTCTAAACCGTCCGAACCGAATTAAACCGGTTTGGATCCGGTTTGAACCCTTGAACCGCCCGAAAAAAACCGAACCGAATTTTCATTTGGAAAGGTAAAAATTTAGATGTAGTTTTGTTCTCTATTTGAATAATTAGACATCAACTTCGTAATCGTGATTTGATCACTAATCTTTATACTCCTAAAAGATACTTGCTCAGCTACATGAATCAGGGAAAACAAAAAGCACGTATACAATTGTCCTCTACAAATTGTTTAAAAAATAGAAAGCAACAATTTAGTGAGTGACACATGTTAATTTGTAGTTGATCAACGGTTGATTTTGAAATTTTATTTCTTGTTCGGGGATGCAACTGTTAGAAAGAGAAGGCAGCAGACAAAGTCATCTCTGCCGCTTTTTTCCTGAAATTTTTAGTCTTTATGCTACGCAAGTTAGGCGTCCAGAAAGCAAGAAGAGGATGAACAAGGAGTTAGGTGAAAATATTCTAGAGGTCGATTGTAAATATTTAGGTTTGGGAGGTTATTCTTGACAAAGTTTAATTTCCTCTCTCCGTTTTGGTTTCCTGTAAGTTTTGTTCTTCGAAAATAATTCGGTCCAAAACCGAAACCGAACCGAACCGATCCGAATTTCGGTTGAACCAAATATTCGGATGAAGGGGGAAAACTCTGGATCTGGATGAGAGTTTTGAGAATTCAAAAAATTCGGATTGGATATGGATTGGGCTTAAAACCGAACCGAACCGAATATGCCCAGCCCTACCCTCATGTGTCATATTATGCTTATTATCCTCTTCTCTATTGCTATTTTATAACAGTGCACACCTAATATATTGACACCTAAACATGTGTGTGGTTTGTGAGCTAGTTTTTTATTTATTTTTATTTTTATAAATTTTATTTAAGGAATGATTACGAGTTAGGATGTGCAAAAATGACTCCGATTCAGTATATTATTTTCTATACAGTGCTCCCAATATGATTTTTACCGCTATGCCCTCACATGAAGTAACTAATTAGATATCCATTGGCAATTAAATTATTTAGTCCGCATCAAATTAGCATCAACTAGTGGCCGATAGCAAGTCTCCTGCTTTAAATCCAACGTCCAAGACTAACCTGACAAAGTCGAAAGTGCTAACTAAGGTCCCGTTTGGTTGCAAAACAGAGAGGCTGAAAGCCTGATAAAAATGTCAGCTTTAAGTCAAAATCGCCTCTTAAAGAGGTGATTTTGGCTTAAAGTTGACAAAAATGTTAGCTTTTGTCAGGGATTCAGCCTCTCTGAGTTGCAGCCAAACGGGCCCTAACGAAGAAGGCATGTCATCCACTCAGATATTGACACGTGTACCAACAAATGTGCACATCAAAACGATAAAGATGCCAAAAATATCACTAACCAGCAATGCAGATAAAACATGGTCCATAATTGATAATTGCATATCAGATTGATGATACTTGTCTCGTGATGTAATTAGTTTCTTAATCACGATTAGTTGTGCTTGAAAATAAACAAGGAAACTAGATTTATTCTGCTGATGATCTTGTTTATTAGGAGATTGCTCTGGGGATGGTTTTTCTAGAGAAGGTTAAGAAAAATGATGAGACATGTCATTTCACATGAAATGTCATTTAAGGGGCTGTTTGGTTGGTTTCCTAAAAATCAAGAATAGAAAATTGGGTCATGGAAATCTCAAAAACATCAATTTTCTCCATTTTCATCCCTAAAACTCACCACAACATCCAATAAAATATTATTTTTATCTAACAACTCATCCACTTTATCCAATAAAATATTATTTTCATCCAACAACTCATCTCATATCATCTCCTGAAAATAAACCAAACACAAGAAA